AGCCTCAAAGCTTGCAGCCCTGATGCAAATGATTATGGAGTGTGCTGGTTCAGACCCACACAAGTTAAAGAAAACCATGGTCATGGTGTGCAAGTAAAATCCTTTGGCTGTCATCTTGCTACAGTTAACTATGGTGGAGTCCACTGTAATTCAGATATGTTTAGCAAGGTTTTACTTATATATGGCCAGATTTTCATAAGAGCTCAAATCCTGTTTCATTACCTAATGAAATGGACAGGTTTTCAAGTGTCTTTAACTCACAACTGTGGTGACGCTTTGAACTGACCTGTTCTGAAAATGTATCCCCCCTCGGGAGAACTTTGACATGGACTAAATACAAGTTATTTGTACTTGATCTCACCAGATCCCAGTGGGTCAGTGGAACAGCTATCACTTCAATATACTGCAGGTTCTGTTCTTAAAACAACAAGAGGGGTATTTATCAGGGTAAGAGTCAGTCATTACATTCCTCCACTTCTGGTATGAAAGGAATTTGAGGTGGAGTGGTGCACAGTCCAGAGTCCCCATGGGATTGTAACAAACACGGGTTATGCTGAGAGTGAACTGGCCAAACCAGGCCTTCTGAAGTTCACTGTAGTTTAATAAATCCAAACTCCAGCTTTATCAGTGTTTTTGTAACCAGCATATAGGTCAAAGTGTGAATGCACTGAGCACGAGACCTACTCCCAGTTCCGATTAAAATCAACAGATCAAATTTGTTCTCATTCAGCCCTTGCTCAGGCTTTCACACTGAGTCATGATCCAACTTCATAGGCATTAATCAGAACCTGTCTGGAACTGGCTAGGCTCAGTTGCTTCTCTTGTTTTAGGAGACAGTTCCTTAAACTTCTGTACATCTGGGTAACATTACTACACAGATGGCTGAATGCATTTCTGAAAGCTTTGTACATTTTTACTTATCATTAATTGTAACACTTTGAGTAGATCTGACTGAAGTGATAAAGCAGTGACTTCTAAGTAGAATTACTTCCTACCTCCGTACAGATACAGAACTACGTCATTCTATTTGCCATTTGATTTACAGGTTTAATTGAGTGTTCTTAGTATCAGCTATTTGGGAAGATTTTCAGCAACTAATAATTTTAAAGGTTAGCATTATTGATTATAGAATCAAAACCACCCCGTATATCCCAGCTCATCTCATAGTGATCCCAGCTATTTGAATAAAGCTACACATTCTGCCTCTGATTTATTCTGTGAGATCTAAACTAATTCACCATTTCCCTTCCATATGGTAAGTGGGTGTAGTAAAGCTGCATATTCCAGGAGCCATCTTCACAAGTAAAGGTATTTTGATGAGTCATCTTGATGTAAACTGCTTGAACTCTGCATTGCTGCTGCGTCATTCCGGCATTTCTCTTTCATACATTCCTTCTGGAATAAAAAGGTCTGGGGAGCAAGGGTGAATTGGCTTGAGGTATTGGAACTAAAGGTCAAGGAACTGTGAGGAGTATCTGGGCTTTTGAAGAGAAATTATGAGTTGCACTTGGTTATTACTTGAACTAAATCCACATGCATATTTAGGGAACATTTGGACAATATACAGTATGGCTGTAATTTGTTCAACTCAAAGTGGAAATTCTGTCTGCTTTACTACTCTTAAGACTTACACAAATGAAAGGCTTGTTACTGCTTGAGTAAATTATGCTCAAGGGAAGCATATTCCCTGAACATGCAGAAAATCTCTGGAATGTGTCGGATGGACTCCTTTGTTTCTTTCCTCTGTAAATGATACTTTCTCAGTAAAGAAAATCTGTTTTCAGGGAGTCAGATTTAGGTCAGTGTTCTGGAAGTCTAATTTTATTCAATCAGCAAAACGCTACCAAGATTCTTAGTAACTGGGTTGGGTAGAGAAGTGAGAGAAGGAAAGCAGAGTCTTGTTATTCCATAGCATCAGTTGGAATGGTACTTGGACTTGTACCTTTAAATAAACTGTTTCATATTCAAACTACTTAACTGCTTCCAAGTATTCTAGAACCATGGATTAGGAAAATCTGAGATTTTAAGGAAATCGTGGAAGAATTGTTCACTACCAAGGCTCTTTACCTTCATGATTCTTGTCTCTTTTGAAGAACTAATAAGTTTGTGAAGAATAACTTCTCCTTAAAGGACTGTGGTGGGTCTACCCTAATACCTTGTGTTTATCCAAAACCCAACAACTTCTGTTCATTAGTATAATTTCTACCAACTTGTGCAGGACAGACATCAGATTTACAGGTTCATCTTGGAGCTTTTTTAGAGAGTTGACCTCAGATTTGCCACTTCCCATTCCTTGAGGACAGAGCCTATCATAAATTACACATTACATACCATGGTTAGTATGTCCTTTGGGAGCATGTAACCTGGCATATGGCTTCCCACTATTTGTTTTATGGATTTGTTCTAATGTTCTGGTACTGACATTCCATTTCATGACAGATCCTGCATTTCATTCCCTTTGAAGAAAGACTCTACATAAGATATGTTGTGAGCTCCTTCATGGTGATCAAAGACATGAAGGGTTTGTTTAGCTTTCTACTACAGCCTTGTCTTCTGGTGCACACTGATCACTTGTTGGCTTTACAGATTTTCTGGCACAGTTTCTTGCTTTTGATGCCTTTGAAAAAGGATTTCATTCATAGTGTTTCTGCCTTAGTAAAATGTTTCTCAGGACTAGGTTTGATTTGCTTTACTTCCTTTTTAAATCTTCCTAGCCAAACTTTATGGTTTGTTTTTTTTTCCTCCATTTGGAAACAGTTTTTTGGAGAGTGTTTCTGTACTTCTCCTTCTCTGCTCTTATTAATCATTTGGGACTTCTTTGGTCTTCTATAAAGCATATCTGCTATGTGGTACACATTTGTTCTGCATAGCCCATATTTCTAATGTCTTTAAGCAGTTTGCACCCCACCTGTAAACATTATACTTGCTGCTCATTTTTTAAATTAATCACGGGGGTGGGGTGGGTTTCTTTCTTTTATCTTTCCTTTTTTATAATCTCTTTTTCCCAAGAAGTTTAGACCTCATCATCATTAGGATGAAAATAAACATGAAATAGAGAATGGATGTATCAAATGGGAGTAATTCTGGTTTAATTTTACACTGCTAGACCTGAGAATGGGGTAAAGATGTTTATATGATGAAAGTGAAAGATTAGAATTGCAGTTTTCAGTTCTGCAATTGTCTCCCTTTGTGACCTTGAACAAATCGTATAGGGTTTCAGTGTCTTGCTTTTTTGTTTTATTTGGAAATTGATGATTATATGAGAAAAGTTTTAGGAAGTAGTGTTAATAATTTGAGGCAAATAGATAATATGGCGATGACTTCAGTAAATTGAGATGTCTAAGGGGAGGACGTCTGAACTTTGGTATTAAGCAATGTTCATTGAGCAGCTGTGAATTCAGCAGGATACACTGTTTGATAGTGATACAACTCCTACACAGCAGTGACAAATGAGTGTACAGCTGACGCCGCTGGACAGGATCTGGTATCCCAAAGGGCACAGCCTCAGATGCCCTCACCCGAACTCAGTCTTCCCCTCTCACAGATGCACCTTTCCATTCCCAGAGTGTTTATCCCCTCCAGTATAGGATTTCTTCCCAGACAGCTCCACATCATCTTTAGTAATTAATTGCAGACCTCTTGAGTCTCGTTGGATCCGTTCCTGCTGTTCACTGCATGATGAAGATTTAAGCAGCCAGCCTTACAACCCAGCTTGTTCCAGGAAAACAGCGCAAGTTTCCTTCATGCCCTCACCTTGCTCCCTCCGCGCAGTGCGAACACGGCCCTGGATGCATTCCACCCCACTGGCACAGCAGGCAGGGACCTTAGGGAGCTTCTGCCTATTTTTATATCCACATTCCTCCAGGCATAGGGTACAATACCTGACCATGTTGTCTGTGATGGCAAGTTGCACTTGTGCTGTCAAAGTAACCAACATGTGTCCTATTCTACTGTGGTTATTGGCCAGGGTGTGTAAGGAATCTTTATCCTTGTTTGCATTCATAAATAACATACAGATTGCTTAAAAACCATTAACCACTTGTAGCAAAGCACGTGAGACTTGAACATTTTCACAGCTCTGGAAGGTGATGAAGTACTCACACTCATGGGGTTTTATTAGTAAAAATATTACCTCTTTGGTAGAGCTGGAATGCACTGCAGAGGAGCCATCCGATGGCCTTGTGCTTCCCCCAGACAAGGTCAATGCTGCTTCATGACATTAATACTACTGTTACAAAACGTAGGGAGATCCTGGGCTGCATTGAAAGGAGCATGGCCAGCAGGTGGAGGAAGGGGGTTCTCTGCTCTGGTGAGACCCCCCTGCAGTCCTGTGTTCAGCTCTGGGGCCCCAAACACAAGCAGGACGTGGAGCTGTTGGAGTGGCTCCAGAGGAGGCCGCGGAGATGCTGCGAGGGCTGGAGCAGCTCTGCTCTGGAGCCAGGCTGAGAGAGATGGGCTGGGGCAGCCTGGGGAAGAGAAGGCTCCTTAAGGGGTGACCTGAGAGCAGCTCCGGTGCCTAAAGGGGCTGCAGGAAACCTGGAGAGGGGCTTGGGACAAGGGCCTGTAGGGACAGGCCAAGGGGAATGGCTTTAACCTGCCCGAGGGGAGACTGAGATGAGCTCTTAGGCAGAAGCTCTTCCCTGTGAGGGTGCTGAGGCGCTGGCACAGGGTGCCCAGAGAAGCTGTGGCTGCCCCATCCCTGGCAGTGTTCAAGGCCAGGTTGGACACAGGGGCTTGGAGCAAGCTGCTCTAGTGGAAGGGGTCCCTGCCTGTGGCAGGGGTTGGAGCTGGATGAGCTTTAAGGTCCCTTCAGCCCAGAGCAGTCTGTGATGCTGTGATCACCACATGAACTATAACCGAGTGTCACCACAGCAGAACCATCCAGTGCTGCTGTGCTGTGGTGCCCGAGGTACCGCCGGGCCTGCACGGCGCTCCAGCACCCCCTGTACAAGCGCCGTAAGCCGCCGCCGGCACCGCCCGGCGCTCGGAACGGCTTCCGCGGGTCACGCGTGCTCCGGAAGCGGCGGGCCCGACGGCGGCGCACATCCGGCGTCGTCTCTCCGCGCCGCGCGTCGCCTGCCCATGGCCGCCTCCGTGGTGAGTCCGTGGCGCCGGGCTCGGCCGGGGGGGGGAGCTTCGTCTGCGGCCGCCGCCTCGGCCTCGCCCGCGCTGGCGCGCAGGGTCTCCGCGCAGGGCCGCGGGCAGCGGTTGTTGCGGTTCGGGGGAGGAGCCTGATACCGCGGGCAGGGCCGCCGGTGGAAGAGGGTGGGGAGGGAAGCGCCTCGGTGCAGCGGCGTGCGCGGCTCCTTGCGGCTGGTCCCGCGGACAGGCCCGGTTCCGTGTGCCTTCGGCCTCGTGCGGGGGCCGGGCCCGGGGCCGGACGGTGGTTGGTGCGATGCGTGTTACAGACACGATCGGCAGAGGCTGTGTGGATTGGCTGGTTTCTTGGGGTTGTCCTCAGCCTTCAGGGGGAGGGGTTTTGTTGGATGGGTTGTTTTTAATTATGCCTTTCTATTAAATATTAGGAAGAACGATTCCCGAGGGAGGTGGTTAGACACTGGAACAGGAGCCCGGAGAAACTGAAAGCTCCGTCCTCTGAGATGTTCAGAGCAGGACACTGAGCAGTCAGGTCTGGCTCTGAAGTTGTCTCAGGCTTTGCAGTCGTCTCTGCTTTGAGCAGGGATTTGGACCTCCTGAAGCTTCTTCCAACCTAAATTGTTCTCAGAACTTAAGAACGTATTCCAGGCTATGGTGGTAAAGAATTTGTCTGGAGTATCAAAACTGCCAAAGCGTGTTTCCCATTTGACACCCACTGAAGGTACCCTAACAGCTCATTGCAGTCTCCTGGCATTTCCTTAATGCTCTTCCTCACACTCTTTCAGTTCTGGCTGTTTGGCAGCTAAATGGCAATGTTTGGCTGCTGGTTAGAAAGTGTAGCTGTGCAAGGGTGTGCTGACTGAGAGTAACAACTATCTACTTTAAATAACATTAACAGGCTGAGTTATAATCACTGTTCCTTTAGTGGGAGGTCTAATACTCTGTCTTACGGTGCCAAAGAGTTTCTCTTGGCACTTGCTGGAATACATCATCTTTAAGATGAGTTTGCTGTAGATGTTTGGAAATGCCCTGTGGTTTCTGAAGTTGCTGGCAAAGATAGGAAGATGAAGAGCAGGCTCGTGCCCTTATAGGAGATCAAAAGAAAAGTATATAGTAACATGAGAGTATTTGGTTTTGTGGAGTGAGCAGATATTATTTGATAACCCTGTAAGTTGTAAATACTGAGAATATAATGCTGAAATAGAATAATGATAAATGATTGTATTTTAAACAGAATATCCTAACAGAACCAACACAGGTTTATAGATATATGGGCAGGAAATTGCGAATCACAACTTTCCAGGATGCCAGAGTTCAGGTTCTGTGAGAAATCGAGGACCAAACAGCCAAACAAACTGAAAACAATAACTGAATGAGATCACAGTAGCAACAAAGGCTGTTACTTGTGGATGAATAAAAGTAGAGAGACGTGAGAATTGTTAGTTTTTTATCTGTGGATATAGCTCTAGAGTGGCTGATACTGGAATACATCCAGTGTGTGTGCATGTTCTCTCTCCATCTAATATTTCTATCTATATATCCACATATATAATATATATACACACATTTTACATATGTGTATACAAAGGTGTTTTAAAAAATGAGACTGTGGAGTGTGAGACTATCACAGTGTGATGGGGTTCTTGCTGATTTTCAGAAATATCTTGAATAAATCTTGTTCCCTAACTTTATTTCAGAACAGCGTCACAGCAGCAAATATTTCCACTGAATCCTTGCACGTTCACACCACTTGCAGCCAGCTGTAGCCCATTTTGTAGTGTAAATATTTGCAATTTAAATACAATCAATATATCAGTATTCAAAGCTGTCACCTGGCTAAAAGGTGATACCTCCTGAAAGTAGAAATGGAGTTTGGGATCAATTTCAACATTATTTGATACAGTTTTTCAGTGAGGATGGAAAAGACCAACCAAGGTGACCTGCTGGAAAAATCACCTAGACAGCCAGGTTGCAAAACGTTGCCTAAGTAATTTGGTATGATTTCTTCTCTCTAGGATTTCAAAACCTACGTGGATCAAGCTTGCAGAGCTGCAGATGAATTTGTCAACATTTATTATGAGACAATGGATAAAAGAAGAAGGGTATGTATCTATTGTGATAGTAGTTAGGACCGTCTTGTGCATCTTTGCTTGCTTTTCGAACTACCATTACACTTGAAAGCACCCAGAAGGTGGTTACTGTGTATCCTATTGGCTGAGTTGAGACCTCTAAACTGCCCCACAGAGGATTTTGTGTTACTGAGCAGCGCACTGTAAAAAGTACCCTTTTAGAAAGTGCCTTTGACTTCTTAGTGATAATAGTTCAGTTTGTGTCCAGCTGTGTTTTACAGGTACAGGGTTTGGTCAACACAGGCAGATAAAACTCGCTTTATTTGTCTCTGTGGTCAAGATTCAGCTTAATTTTTTCCCAAACTACTTTTATTAGCAGTTATTACTTCTGTTTCTGGGGGTCTTGAGGAGCCTTCATTTCAGGAGGGCATTTTATCTATCAGAATAATAGAAAAAGTCAATAATTCACAACATTCCTTATTCAAAGAATATTGGTTTGTATGTTGTCCATTCTACGTGTTTACACATTTTCCCCAAATATGTATTTTCAGGCTTTAACAAGACTTTATTTGGACAAAGCCACGTTAATTTGGAACGGTAATGCAGTGTCCGGGCAAGAAGAACTGAGTAAGTTCTTTGAGATGTTGCCATCTAGTGAGTTCCAGGTTAACGTGTTGGACTGCCAGCCCGTTCATGGTAAGCTTGTATTCCGCTTCACTCATTTATTTGTCAGTCTTTTTGTAACTGTTGAAACTGAACTGCAATTATGATAGTGTTTAATCTTTCTTTTGGAACAAGCTGAGAAAAAATGCTGAGGGTTGAAATATGAAGTTGTGCATAAATAAAACACAAATCGAGAGATGCAGCAAATCCACACTTTTTCTCATATCTGGGAAAATATTTTAAGGACTTTTCTGTGAAGTTCATATTCATATATGATGTCTTTTCATGTATTGAAAAAGTCTGGCGTATCAGGTTGTGTTGTACTTGACAGTGTCTAAGAGTTGAGACCTCTGCTGTAGCCTCTAATGCTGACCTGCAGTATAATGTGGAACAGATTGTTTACCTGTATGTACTTTGATTTCTTCACATCTAGAATAGATGTCAGGTTCTTTAGATTTCTCATTAACGACTGCTATAGGAAGGCTTACATAATTAAGAAGTTAATGAATTATTTCTAATGGACATTTTGGGAATGTAAGTAAGGACAATGTAAGCAGGGACAAAAGTGTATGCAGCTTCCTAAATATACATGTGTGTGTATCTGTGAGTATGTGTTCTAAGCAAAAACTCAGGTGGTTGTTACAGTGCTCTAAAATGAACATGAGATGAAAATGGAAAAGCCATTAAAAAGCAGAGCTGGCCAACAAATACACCTGTGTCTGTGCAGAAATGATGCAACAAAACTGTGCTTTCCGTAAACGTGTAACCAGGTGTTAGCTGACAACTAATATAACTACCGTGTACATTTCCTACTTCTTTACCTGGTAGTCTTTGAGTTGTTTTCTTAATACTTTTTCTCCTTGGGAAGAGCAAGCTACGCAAGGGCAGACGACAGTCCTCGTGGTGACAAGCGGGACAGTAAAATTTGACGGTGACAAGCAGCGCTACTTCAACCAGAACTTCTTGCTGACAGCACAGGCCACTCCTACCAACACAGTGTGGAAGATTGCCAGTGACTGCTTCCGCTTTCAGGACTGGGCCAGTTAGTGAGGACTGGCTGAGGAAGTGACCTCTCTCATGGGACGGGTTGGAGTCAGCTGTATGGACAGCCGTTGTCCTGCATGGGGAACACTTGCTCTTCGTCTTGCGCCTGTCATTTATGGAGGGTCTATCATCAGTGTTTGAGGGTTGGTCTCAGTGACTTTGGGTTTAGTAGTAAACAATCTTAAAATGTTAGAGGTTGCTGGTGTTAGTTGAACCTAATAAAATGCTAAAGGCAGTGAGTTGCATTGGAATCATTCCTAAAATGCCTTACATGCAGCTATGCTGCCACTTCAGGCTTCTCGTATATAATGCTGAAACTCTACTAATTGAACACAAAATTCTCTTAATGGACAATTCGGACCAAACATGTAGTTTTTCAACTTGAAAAGATCTGTTTTTACAATAGCATCTTCCCTCTTTTGGAGAAGATGCTTGTGCATGTAGATAGAATTCTGAAAGTTACCTACTGTTTGTTGTAAGAGGCTAGGAGGGATTGACAGTAATTTCTGATGTTTGTGAAAGTAGCAAATACAGCTCCTGAGTGTGTCATCTCAATCCATTTGAAAGGTAGCCTTACCTTCTCTGTTATGAAAGAACTAAATAATCTCATCAGGTTTCCTTTTGTCTTGAGCTTCCCAGACTGTGGTTATAGTTATTTTGCATCGATTTATGTGTACGGCATGCTGAATGATTCGGAGCACCTCTGCCAACAATTCCTGTCACATGCATGTGAAAGACTTCAAACGGATTCTTTTTCTTTTGAAGTCTTGAAGTTGTAAGAAATAGGTCAGTTGCAGCATTTCTGTTTGCTTTAACTGTTAATTCTGTTGCTATGAAGTCTGGGATATTTTTCCTGTATTCATTCTGCAAGTTTTGAATTCCTACTGTCTTTTCAGGACACATTGTAGTAAAGAAGTGGCACTGAAAGTGTGTATTACTGTGAAGCCTTCAATTTTTCTCTTCAGTACTGTTATACAGAATAGGTGCTTTGGTTATTTTCAACCTAAAAGAACAGCTGTAAACACAATTACCGTCTTCCTCTCATGCAGATTTTTACTGTGGTTTCATATTAAGTATTGCCTTAAATTATTAATTCTGGAAATTTTTGTCTGTCTTGCTTGAAATTTGTGGTTTAAAGCATTCAGCCGCTTTAAAACAGTTTTCAAGACTGCAAGTTAAGACTGTCCATGTTAACTTGGGAACGCGAGAGTAAATCTGAGTTTCAACAGATTTGTTTCAAACTGGTACATTTCTGTTTTAAGCTGAGTAAAAAAAAATAGCTATATACCTGGGAGTGCACTTGCTTGTAGCTGACAAAACATGGGGGGAACTTGTAACTCTGATCTTAATATACATCACATGGGGGGAACTTGTAACTCTGATCTTAATATACATCACAGAGACAACAGCATCCTGAGTGCAAAAGCTGTTATGGCTGGCTCACTTGTTTTATGACTTAAATCGGGGAAACTGTGAAAATGAGCATTATCCAACTTGTGTAAGACATCATAAAATGTGCAGTTTGCAGTATAGTCTCACAAATAATGGGATGTTTAGGTGAAATGAATGGGTTTATTTCCTTTTAAGGCACTCTAGTGCCTTACAGAATTAGTTACCTGTCTTTATTCGGGAGCTGTTTGTGTTCTGAACTGTTGTGTAACTATTTTTTTATCCTGAAGAATATGAATTCCTGCAAAACAATGCAAGAAGTCCAGAATTTGTGAAAGCTGTAAATACTGTAAATAGTTATTTCTGTATGTAGTAACAGAAGGATTGGTCTGTTTATTTACTGTTTGTTCTTAACAGAGTATGCCAGGCTTCTAGATTTGTGTTCCTCCTACAAGTTTGAAAAGAAAACCCTACATTTGCCTGTTACTGACAGAGTGTTGTTGAGCAGTGATGCTGCCGTGCTGTGCTCTTCTGGTTTGCTAACTTGCTCTTGCTTGTGTAAGTTGTGTTACAGATGTGTTTCCATACACAAAACAGGTTTTGACTGTTGAAACGTACTGATGGGTGCAACTGTTAGCATTTGCTTGTTGAACTTTGAAGGCAGTCAGCAGAACACACACTTATAGCTGTACCTGATAAACTTGTCCTGGGAATAAATACTTATTGGGTATTTTTATTCAGGCTTTTATTTGTATAGTAGTTTTTAAGCTTTTTGTATGGAGATTGGGAGATTTTGAATATATATGGCAAAGTTTTAGCCCAATGTTATTTTCAGTTATTTTCATGTTATTCACAGGCAAGCCGCTTAAAAATCTGACTTCTGCAATGAATATTAAGAAAGAGGGGAGAGTGAGATGAGATCTTAAGAAGTTCTTCCATGTGAGGGTGCTGAGGTGCTGGCACAGGGTGCCCAGAGAAGCTGTGGCTGCCCCATCCCTGGCAGTGTTCAAGGCCAAGTTGGACACAGGAGCTTGGGGCAACCTTCTCTAATGGAAGGTGTCCATGCATGTGTCAGAGGTTGGAACTGAATGAGTTTTAAGGTCCCTTCCAACCCAAACCAGGCTGGGATTCTATTTAAAACAAAAAAAGCCATTGCTACCTGTAGCATCATTTAGGAAGCTCACTAATTGGCCTTAGCTGCACAAACCCAGTTTAAACTTTTACTTAGTAAGATGCGTAGCTGGAATTGGACTTGGTATGCATACAAGGGGGTTTGGAGCTAAACTTATTAGAACATAGTTGCTTCAGCCTAGGGAGAAGTGCCAGTTAAGTACTGCCCAGTGCCATCGCCTCCAATGAGGATCACTTAGGGTGATTCCGTGCTACCATGATTAGCTGTTGCTCTTATGTCTGAAAATGGTGGTGTATAAATATTTTTGTGGAGTGTAGTGATAATGTAGCTCATGGATTAAATCAGTGATTTTACAACCAAGTAATTAATGGCACAAACAAAAGATCTGTTCCATCTTAGCTGGAGAAGTTCGGGATGCTGCAGCTCTGCACTGCTTGTTAAAATGTCTATGCTCAAAATAGCAGAAAAGAGCATACAAATGCTTTTTATTCCATTCAGTACCAAACCATCCAGCTGGTTTAGTGCTGCTGGCTCTGCTATAATGTCCAGAATTTACAATAGCGATCTATAAAGCAATGATGTTTATGCTCTAAACTGTGAACAGGAGGTACTGCCACCATTTTTTGCTGTTTGATACCAAGTTATTAATGTACAACCAGGCAGTGAGACCAAGCCAGCTGAAGAGCTGAGCACTTCCACATACTAAATTGTGACTACTGAAGATTTAATAGATCTCTTTTTTGTATATTCCTTGTGTTGTCTTTATCAGTCACTCATGTTGCTTTGTTCTTTTGGGATACTACAGTTAAACTGACTTAAAATACTTGTGCTGTTTCTTGGAATCCTAAAATCATAGAATAGTTAGGGTTGGAAAGGACCTTGAGATCATCTAGTTCCAATCCCCCTGCCATGGGCAGGGACACCTCGCACTAGACCGTGTCACCCAAGGCTCTGTCCAGCCTAGCCTTGAACACCGCCAGGGATGGAGCATTCACAACTTCCTTGGGCAACCCATTCCAGTGCCTCACCACCCTTACAGTAAAGAACTTCCTCCTTATATCCAATCTAAGCTTCCCCTGTTTAAGTTTGAACCCATTACCCCTTGCCCTGTCGCTACAGTCCCTAATGAAGAGTCCCTCCCCAGCATCCCTATAGGCCCCCTTCAGATACTGAAAGGCTGCTCTGAGGTCTCCACACAGCCTTCTCTTCTCCAGGCTGAACAGCCCCAACTTTCTCAGCCTGTCTTCATACAGGAGGTGCTCCAGTCCCCTGATCATCCTCGTGGCCTCCTCTGGACTTGTTCCAACAGTTCCATGTCCTTTTTATGCTGAGGACACCAGAACTGCACACAATGCTCCAAGTGAGGTCTCACGAGAGCAGAGCAGAGGGGCAGGATCACCTCCTTGGACCTGCTGGTCACACTCCTTTTGATGCAGCCCAGGATACGGTTGCTTTCTGGGCTGTGAGCGCACACTGAAGCCGGTTCATGTTCATTTTTTCATCGACCAACACCCCCAAGTCCTTCTCTCCAGGGCTGCTCTGAATCTCTTCTCTGCCCAACCTGTAGCTGTGCCTGGGATTGCTCCGACCCATTCCTTCCCTCCAGGGTATCAACCGAACCACACAGCTCGGTGTCATTGGCAAACTTGCTGAGGGCGCACTCGATCCCACTGTCCATGTCAGCAATGAAGATGTTGAACAAGACCGGTCCCAACACCGATCCCTGAGGGACACCACTCGTTACTGGTCTCCAGCCGGACATTGAGCCATTGACCACAACTCTTTGTGTGCGGCCATCCCGTCCGTTCTTTATCCACCGAGTGGTCCATCCATCAAATTGATGTCTCTCCAATTTAGAGACAAGGATGTCGTGTGGGACAGTGTCAAACACTTTGCACAAGTCCAGGCAGATGACATCAACTGCTCTACCCCTGTCCATCAGTTCCGTAGCCCCATCATAGAAGGCCACCAAATTGGTCAGGCAGGATTTCCCCTTAGTGAAGCCCTGCTGGCTGTCACCAAGCACCTTGTTGTTTTTCATGTGCCTTAGCATGCCTTCCAGGAGAATCTGCTCCAAGATGTTGCCAGGCCCAGAGGTGAGACTGACTGGGCTGTAGTTCCCCGGGTCATCCATTTTCCCCTTCTTGACAATGGGGGTTATATTTCCCTTTTTCCAGTCGTCGGGAACTTCACCTGACTGCCAGGATTTCTCAAATATGATGGCCAGCGGCTCCACAACTTCATTCACCAGCTCCTTCAGGACCCGTGGATGGATCTCATCAGGACCCATGGACTTGTGCACGTTCAGATTTTTAAGATGGTCTCGAACCAGTTCCTCTCCTACAGTGGGCCCAAGGTCTTCATTCTCACTGTCCCTTCATCTGCCCTCCAAGACTTGGGTGGTTTGGTCAGAGCCTTTGCCAGTGAAGACCGAGGCAAAGAAGTCATTCGGAACCTCAGCCTTCTCCAAATCCTGCGTAGCCAGTTCTCCTGAGAGCTTCCTGAGGGGGCCTACATTCTCCCTAGTCTGTTTTTTAATTGCTTTGTACTTGTAGAATCCCTTCCTGTTATCTTTAGTACCTCTAGCTAAGTTTAATTCTAACTGGGCCTTAGCTTTCCTAACCTGGTCCCTAGCTTCTCGGACAACATCCCTGTACTCTTCCCATTCCACCTGTCCTTGTTTCCAGCTTTTGCAAGCTTCTTTTTTGCCTTGAAGTTTCCTCAGCATCCCCTTATCCATCCAAGGAGGTCTCCTGGCCCTTCTGCTGCACTTCCTTCTAGTTGAGATGCAACACTCCTGAGCTTGCAGCAGGTGATCCTTGAATATCAACCAAGAGTCTTGGCCCCCCTGCCCTCTAGGGCTGTACCCCATGGAACCTTACTGACAGGTTCCTGAAGAAGCCAAAGTCTGCTCTTTTGAAGTCCAGGGCAGTGAGCTTGCTGCATGCTCTTCTCACTGTCCTGAGGATCTTGAACTCCACCATTTCATGATCACTACAGCCAAGACTGCCCTGGATGAAGAAAAGGGGTTTGTTGTGATGGTATGAATCATTTGTACTGATGGATTTCATATGCATATGCTTCCTTATCCTGATGGGAGAAAAGCACACTATAGAGATGCTGTTTTATCAGTAATTTTCCACGATTTAATATATCTTGTAAGTTTTGAAATTAAGACTTTTTGTAAGATTAATTAAAAAAAAATAAATGTAAAACTCTACCTGATGTTCTGCCCCTTTATTATTATTACTAGTTTTCATGGTTTGTTCTTATGATATTATAAGGGCAAGAAATATATCTGTGCTTCCTTATCTTTAGTACTTGCGTTCAATGTTACACATTGTGGTTGTTGCAGCCTGGTGCTGGGGCAGGCTGTGAGCTCTGTCAGTGCTGCAGTGAAAAAATGTGTCAGGAATAATAACCCCATGGCAAGTGCCTCACCAGGAGCACCATCAAGCTGTGAACAGTGTTGAACTGGCTGGAGTAACCATCTCAAAGTGATGCTTCCCTCTAAAATGTACGAAAGTTTAGACTGCTGTCCAGCAAATACCTGCATGAAGTCGGACAAAATTTGTGCCAGATTCTTGGATTGTAACTATTTTCACTGAGAATATATTGTTGTGCCTCTGGTGTTTCTCTGCCAGGAAGAAATGAAACACTCAAATAAGGAATGGTTCATGTGGTAACTTTCCTTTGCTGTTTAAATCATCCGGTTAGTAATGAACATCCAAGGTCAGTATTTGCATGGAAGCAGACACTGTTCTAGAAACAAATATATTGTAAAGGTCTTGCTGTGCTGGAAGGTGGAGATTTCAGTGAGGCTTTGCAAGCAGTCACATATTGCAGTTATCCTGTGCAAGGCTCTGACAGCTGATGCAGTGTAAAGGTTTAGGAGCGCTGGGAAAAATAAATTACAGTTGAGGGCCAAAAGAGAAGCTATTTTTTCAGCTATATTAAAAGTGAATCCAGAAATTGCTGTTTCAATATTCCCCCTGTGCTGAAGGAAAGAACAGTTCAGTCTTTCTAAACAAGCTTTTCATCTCTGATCCTAACTGTGAAGAAGTAGGTCATTGATAGCTGAGCTTATCCCTTCAGAAAGATGCCTTTAATAATACAAATAAATCTGTCCTTTAATAATGCAAATAAATCTATCTTATTATCTCTTGTGTCCAGTGATTGAATGGACTTACAGAGACTAAATGACCGTGTTGCCCTGCATCAGCAATACAGGTGCCTTAGAATATAGTATTTATGTATAAAAAAGTGTTGAATTTTGGTGGGTAATTTTTGTCTTTTACAGTCTAAATCAGTTCACTCACAGAAGTTTGCAGCTTCATGGGCTTCTTTAAGGTTTCCAACCGGGACTTACTAAATCAAACACACACAAATGAATGTTGCTGCTGGGTTTAATACTTATTTATCAAGGTCTCTGTGTACCACAATGGGAATTCCACTTAGGTGTTCAAGTACTTTGGTGTGTGTATTCGTGCCAAAGGGGTGAGAATGAACTGGATGTGAACTTAACATTACCAGCTCTGCAGTGTAACCTCCTGTCAGCTACAGCATGTTCCTGGGTTCTGAGTGTTTAAAGCACATTCTTCTTCAGAACTGAAGACATCCATGCTGAATCCTTGGGCTCTTCTGGACAGAACGATCCAGAGGGGCATTGTGAGTTCTTGTGTATAAGTGAATTGATTTAGGAGGCTTGAATTCCTAATGGACTGAAGTTTTTCTACACTGAAAGGCTTCATTTGGTTGTATTTCTCCCAGACCTGGGACAGTGCTGCTCAGTGGGGCAAGTCTAACCCTTAGGGTTCCTGATTCTAGCTGAACTCTATGGGTGTTGCTTTCATTGGAGAGTCTTCAAGAAACTGAGGGCTTCATTCGGCTGGATAGTTCTGCTGTCAGTTAGAGTCTCTAACTTAACTCCTCTCTATAACTATCCCATGGCACACTTTCCCTTTAATTTGTGGTTTAACAGAATTTGAAACAGTATGTGGGCTATAACAAAAAATGGTACCGTGTGTTCACAGGAAAAGATAAACTGTGAAAGAACAGTGCTCTGAAAAGTATTTTGTATCTTTATAGTTGCAGGTTCTGCATCATCTTGATCATAGTAACTCCATCCCTGGCGGTGTGCAAGGCCAGGTTGGACAGAGCCTTAGGTGACATGGTTTAGTGTGAGGTGTCCCTGCCCATGGCAGGGGGGTTGGAACTGGATGATCTTAAGGCCCTTTCCAACCCTAACTGTTCTATGATTCTAAACAACAAAGGGTTTAGGATTCTAAATGGAATTAGTTTGTGTAGTGGTTGTTATTCCCTGATGACTGGCAGGTGTGGAGAATAAAAACAATTCTTATTTTCTTGCAGACTTTCTGCACCCAACGATTACAGTGATGAGGTGTAAATACAGGCAGTAATAAACAGGCACTTTTGTCTGTGTTTAGGGTGTGGGAAGAGAGGTCACCTGTGAAGACTGAGGCAGAGAAGTTGAGTCCCCCAGCCTTGTCCCTTGTTACCTGTTTGCCAGTTGTGTTCACCTGGGGGGTGTACACTTTCTTTGACCTTTTCTGTCTGACGTACCTGTAAAAGCCCTTCTCATTATCCTTTGTGTCCCTTGCCAAGTTCAGCTCCAGCTGTGCCTTGGCATTCCTGACCCAATCCCTACGCGACCAGGCAGCATCCCTGTACACAGGTGTGAAAATCACCTGCTAGAGAGACACCAGGAATATGTGTGAAGTGAGTAACACAGCTATATAGCCACTTGCATTTGTGGATACGTACTGTATTTATCTGTATATATGATGTAAATCTTGTTCCAGTGTAAGCTGCAGTTAATGCTTGATGGTGTTACTGTTGAACTGCAACGATAAGAATAGATGGACCGATGTAAATCACAGATTGCTGCAGTTCACCAAGACCTTGCAATTCTTTCAGGTACTGAAAGGTACAGATGGAACAGCAGATAATTAGAATGTGATGTTTTGTTAGTGCCTTGGCAGGAGGCCTTGTGCTTCCCTTACTGGGAACTCTCTAATGGAAGGTGAATTTTTCACAAGGGCAGCTCTTTTTCTAGGTAGGACCTAAATAATGGTATGTTACACATACTGTAGGTTTCGGGGGAGAGGGAAGAGAAACAGATTAGGATATCAGTCGATTTGTTGGACACTGACTCCAGAGATTGCCACAACCTCCAAATTTGTCTATAGGATGAAGCAGTGGAAAGCAGTTAGTAACCAGCTGGCATTACACAGGGTGTGTTAAGCACATAGTGCATTGAAAGTTTAATATGTGCAAAGATGAAGACGTCTGGGTATTCACAAGCTAGTGTTTGATACCAAACAATACTTTGTCATTTGGTCTGTGGCTATTGCAGTCGTTTGCAGTGACAAAGTTGACTTGGTAACTGCCAGTCCTCTCGAGGATTTATTTCTCTTTAAACTCATCATTTCAGGTATTCAGTTTACAGTGATTCTCCACAGAGCTGTAGTAGAGAGGGTAAGGTGCAGTAGGAGACAAATGTAAGACTGTTTTGCCATTGGAAAGAATATTCATGAGTGTTAGGAAGTCTGTAACATAAAAAACTCTCCTCCGTTTAAGTTAATGTCAAAGCTGCTTTTTCCTACAGTGTGGTTTGGATAAAATCCAAATAGCAGTTCAGATAGTGTGGTGCACCATTCCTAGTGAAGGTGCTTGTTCCTTGGAATTGTTCCTTAATCTTTATCTAGAAAAACCCCACCCCAGGCCCAAACCAAGCAATGACAGACTGTTAACATGGCTAGAACACGCGAACAACCTCTGCCTGCCCAGCTTTTTTGCACAGAGCATATCCTGTGTGGTGTTTTAAGGTTTAACTTGTACAAAGGTATTCTTGCAATTCCACGTCTCAGTGTGTGTGTGTATGTTATTGATGCCTTTAACAGTTACTGTCCATCAGCACAGAATACTGTGATGAGGTTCTGATGCTTTCCTCATGGGAGCACCTTCAGCCTCTGAGCTCCTGTTTTGATAAATGATTCCAGAACAGTCTTGATTTATCAGAACGAGACCTGACCCTTCCAGTCCTTTGTACCTGGCACGACTGCCAGTGCTCTAAAGTGATAGAAGGGTTCGTAATACAGTGATAGGGTAGCTGCTTTTAATTCTGTGAAAGGCTGCCCGCAGCAGTAGCACTGTGTTCGGGTAACAAGGTGGAATACCAGAGCAGAAGATGTTAGGTAAGCTCTAGAGGTGATTGATGAGAGTGGTCTCTGTACGTACGCGATGCAGGTGTTCGTTGTAGAAAAGCAGTCCAGAGCTGTGCAGAGCTGAAGCGCAGCTCCCGCTGCAGGACCGGCCGCGGGTGCCGATCTGTTCCTCACCCCGCCGGTCCTGGGGGAGCCGAGGGGGCAGGCCCGGAGGGACCGGCCGGGCAGCGCTCACATCAGCCGCTGCCCCTCGGCGGGGCCGCCCTCCTCTCCCGGCCCGGCGCGGCCCCAGTCGCGCTCGATGTAGAGGTGGTACGGGTCGTGCTTGGACTCCAGCTTCCGCGAGCGGGTGTAGGCCAGGATGAGCCCCCCGGCCAGGCAGCCGTAGAAGATCATGATGAGCAGGATGTAGAGCGACGCGTCCCCCCCGGCATCGGGACCAGCACCGGGACCCGCACCGGCCGCGCTGGCGTTGCCGCCGCGGCGCAGCTCCCGCAGCAGCGCGCTGAGCAGCGCCTGCAGCCGCCGCGGCTCGCTGCAGTTCATGGCTCCGGCTCTGCGGCTCGGAGCGGGCGGTACCCGGGATGGGCGGTGAGCAGGACCCGCGCTGCGCCGGTGCTCGGTGGCGGAGAGCCCCGCACTGTGCAGGGGGGTCACGGCCGCAGGTCAGATGAAGCGGTTCGTGCAGGGAGCCCGGGGACCGAACCTCTCTGCTCGGGAGGAGCCGGGCGCTGCCGGGGCCGTGGGGCTGCGCCTTTCTCCCGCTGCGCTGCCTGCCCTGCCGCCGCCGCCCACAGCCTGGTGTTTGGAGAGGCTGATCCCACTTCCTCACGGTGCCAGGCTGCACTCAAACGCCCTCTCCCACGCTAGAACGGGTAAAAGTAATTCTGTTTGAAAGGTGCAGCCGAGCAGCCCTTGCTTGTGTCCTTGAGACCAGGAGCACATCCTACACAGTGGGACCACTGGGCCTCACTGTGCACCAGCTGTGAGGGAGCAGGAAGAGAACAGAAATCTCCCTTTCGCTCAGAGAACTGAGCAAACTGAGACCCCTTGCCAGCCCGCCCTGAATCACAGGAGCAAGATCTGTCATGAAGGTGAGCACTTGGGAAAGTGTAGGTCCACCAAGGAGCAGGAAGGAGCTGGGTCTAGTTATGGGAGCTTTGGTGTCTCTCCAGTCCCATTGCGCCCAGGCACTGAGCGCCAAGACAGCCTGGCAGAACCGCATGGGATCAGCTGCTCCCAGTGCAAGAGTCATTTCCCTGCATCGTGGTGCACCGGATCCGTGTGGGAGGCCCTGGCTGGCTTATGGAGCCACTTGGCTGTGAGTGGCATGGAACAGGCAAAAGCAGGGCAGTGCTGCAGGGAAAGGTGGTGGATACAGGAGCTTGAGTGGCAGCAGCTGTGGGGGTCAGATGGCCAGAGGGAGAATTAATGAGAGTAATGAAATAATTAAAACAATTGGAATTAGCGGATAGAGGGGTTGTTCTTGAGCAGAAAGGCTAGGAGAGGGCTGAGTGTTAGCAGGTTGGGGTTTGGGTTGTTCTTGGTGTTTGTGCTGGAGAGGGTTCTGAGGCGGTACCAGACACGCAACTTTCCTTCATTTACTTTCCTTTCCCTCCCATAGGTCTGTGCCCATAGTTATGGGGTTTTTGACATCCCAGGAATGTTCAGGTTTTCCCTCCTTCCAGGCTCTTATCTGGTAACTGTTTAAATTCAGTTGTTATCATGCTTGTAGGTGGATGTGTCGGTGGTATGTGTTACAGGATCACAATCTTTCCAGCATGTAGAGTTGTTTTCACCCTGTGCAGTTTCTTTGCCTGTTTCCAGGAGGTGGCTAGGGCTGATCACTGTGTCCTGTCCTGTTTTCTTTCTCTGCTTTCAGGGAGAAGGATATGTTTTAACAGCAGACCAGAAGGAGTGTCCATCTGTAAGGGCAGCTGGGAGGCAAAGTCAGTGTGGTATTGACTTACAGGCCGTAGGGTATGAGTGAGAGGTTGCTGCCTGCACAGTGAGGAGGTTGCTGATGTGCATATGGGTGCGTTTTGTCCTTTTAGGAGTCTTTTTACAGGATCGCATCTCTTAAGCAAAGTTTTTGCCTCAGATGTGGTGCAGGCACCTTGCTTTGTCACTGCTTGTGAGCGACCTACTGAAAGTACATTAGCAGCTAGACAGTGGAAATAAAATGGAAAATACAATAGGTTGTAGTTTTTGCTCCAGTTAGAAGGGCTGAATATCCATTTAGAATTTCAGCAGAGCCCAAAGGTCCAGTAGATTTTTCTTCACAGAGTGCCAGGTTTTAATTTGCTTTTCTACAGGATGTTTTTTGTCGGTGTGAACAATTTCCTTGGCATCTTTCCTCTGAAAGCAAGGACTCTGCTTGCCAGTAAGTGCTTAGAGTGGGGTGTATGTGGGTTAAGACTGAGTCACTCTGACTTGCTGGAAAGTCAGCTTGGGTTGTGGTGTAGCATTTGTTTGCAGAGCTCCTCAGGAAGTCACTGTCACCACCTGTGCATTTCCACTCCTCACAGCAACATCCTTACTGTGCTACAGGAAGGTGTTCACAGCAGAGATTCGGGTTTAAAGATAACAAGGACAAAAAGTCACAAGGTGAGAGCTTCCCTGTTAGATGAGAGGCAAATATGCTATGGAAGGCAATGAAATTAGAGGTCACTACCCTGAGCTTTATAGGGCAGAGGGGATGAGGGTTGTATTTTGAACATAGGGACAGAGTGGGGCTGGTTAAATGACTGTACTGGGTTCAGCAGTAGCAGTCATTTTTCTCCTTCTTAGTAGCTGTGTTTTTGACTTTCATCCTGGGAACAGCGCTGATAACACCGATGGGTTTAGTTGCTGCTCAGTAATGTTTAGTCTGACCAAGGACTTTGTGAGTCTCATGCTTTGCCAGGGAGGAGGGGAAGCTGAGAGGAAGCAGAGAAAGGATGCCTGAGCCAAACTGACCAAAGAGGTATTGGTCATGCCCAGGATGTAAAACTGGGGGCAGTTACCCGGAAGGGCTGAGATCACTGCTCGGTCGGGCTGGGTATTGGTTGGCGGGTGGTGAGCGGTTGTATTCTCTTCCCTTGTTATTTCCCTTATCATTATTATCATTGGTAGCAGCAGCAGTGGTTTGTGTTATACCTTAGTTACTGGGCTGCTCTTAACCAGTGGGAGTTGCATTTTTTGATTCTCCTCCCCATCCCTCCGGGAGCGGGAGCAGGGAAGGGGGGGGGAAGTGGACTGATTTGCCGACAGGGTTTAATGACCCTGATGGCGTTTCATAAAACCAGGCTCATCTGGAGGTTATGTGATTAGAACCGAAAGGCAGAAAGTAGAGTAGGGCAGGCAGCTGTAGAGAACAGTGATCTGTTCTTCATGTTCCCTCCCTGGGGGAGCACTGCAGGTAATGAGCTGCTCTATACCCAACAGGAAAGGTTTAGATTAGATACAGGGCTGTTTAAAACAAAACCCTGGCAACACCTCCCAGGGCTGGGCCCTTCCTTGAGTGCAGGAATAATGTGTGGACTCCATTTGTAGTCAGCCTAGTCTTAGTCTTAAATAGGTTCAGCAATGCAGGAAGCCTGTTAGAAGTTGTTCAATGCTGTTTCAAATCAAGAAGTGCTGAATTACTCCCCCACCACTTAATTTGTTAAAAGGCAAATAAGGAAAACTTACATGGCCTCTCTTTGCTTTAGATGTTAACTGTAATGATAGGAGATCATGTCTTAAGAGTGATGGGTTTCATGCTCAGGGTTTGGGTTTTCAGAGGTAACGGGGATAGCATAGCTGGGGTGGTCACCCTTCTGTAACAGAGGACAGGTGAAGGTGTTAGTTACATGCTTGGCATCTTTGTTAATGTTCATCAGTGAGCAAGTTATTGGTGTTCCAAAATGGGAAAACAAGCGAAAAATGCAACAGAGTTGGGTTTGGTGTTGTTTTTACCCTTTCAAAGCAGGTGAGGAGGCTGAGGACCACACACAGTGCCCGGAGCTGTTTGTCTAATGTCATTATCACTGGTCTGATGGCAGGACTGCACATAGTTTTGGACAAATTCCCTGTGATAATCAGCTTCATTAAAGCACTTTGGCAATATAGAATAAATCTGATTTTCTTCAAAACATGGCTTCCTAAAAAGCACAAGATTTATTCTTTTTAAACGTCTGATATTTAAATTTTAGCCTCCACAAGGGAAATGGATTTACTCTCATGTAAATAGAGTTTAGCCACTAGACAGGCTTTGTTAAACAAACAGCCTGCTCAGAACCACCCAAAACCAAGACACAACACAACAAACGCCACACCAAAACCAAATCCATAGTGAGAACGTATTTCTTGCATGGCATGTAATTGCAGAACATCCCTGGTTGATCATTCAAATATAACGTAGTTATTTGAAATAACTATTCTGGGACAGGGTAGGTGTGGGGCTGGTGGGGTTTTCTGTCTGAAAATTAATGACCCACATTTTCAACTCGCATCCTTTTTCTTATAGAGCCAGAAAGTGTGCGATGGGAATGGCAGTTCAACACACAGGCTTCCTCGGCAGGCAGCTCTCTTGTGTCATGCTATGCTCAAAGATGGTGCAATGGGCACTAAAATTGGATTGGGTTGGTTAAACACCTACCCTTAAAGAGAATAACTCATCACTTTCTCTGTTTATACATTTTTTTGTCCCCCTGCAAGCCGTTTAATGACACCTTGCTGTTACCTGCAGCATTACTATTGCATTATGTGCAGCAGCCTGGTTCTCCTGCCCCAGCCCCAGTTCTGTGCTGAAGCTGTTCCTGAAAGGTGCTGTTCAACCTTTATCGACACAGAGGCTTTGCTGCCTTTCAGAAGGCAGGGATCTTGAGGCACTAGTTCAGCATTTAGAAAGGAATAGTTTTAAAGGTGTTTCTTTTAAAATATCTAATAATCAGCGTCACTCAGTGTAAGCTTACTCTGCTTCTTCTCTTCCAATGGTGACAACTCTTGTGCTTGTCTTAGGGCAATATGTATGTAGCTGAAGGTTACTCTTGTCAATTCACCGTTCTTCAGGCCACCTGAACTTAACTGCAATCTTCCTTCACACATGAAGCTTTCTAGACCCACTTTTATGGTACTTAAACTCTAGATATCCCATGGGGCTTTTTGAACTAGAATGCCTAAACATCTTATATCGGATGCCCAAACTGGATTTTGTTTCTCTTTCAACTTGTTTCTCAGGCTGAGGAGGGCAATTTGAAGTTCTGAACCAGCTTTCTGAAGATCTTGCAGCTACTGTGAGCTTTCTGGAATCTTCACGTTTCATAAATGAACTGCTCCCTCACACTGCAGTGGTGGGTTAGCAGTTGAATGCTACCATCTTAGAGGTCTTTTCTAACCTTTGAAGCCTTACACTGTTTATCTATGCATCCGAGTTCCTTACTTCTAATGACAAGAATGACATTCTTGCTCATCCTCTGTTTCTTTCTCCCCAAGCTGTCACAAAAGTATTCAGAATTCATTAAGAAAGAGGATAAAGCTCTTGCCAAACTGCAAATACATTTGTAAATAATCCCCGTATCTGA